TATCAATCAAAAAGAAAACTAAGAAAAATTTCCGGAGTTGGAAAGTACAATACCTGAAATAAAAAATATGCTACAGAGATTTGAAGGCAGATTTCAGCAAACAGAAAAAAAAAAAGAAAAAATCAGCAGACAAAAAAGACAGGACAGTTGAAATTATTGAGTCTGTGGAACAGAAAGAAATATTTTAAAAAGTGCAGAGAGCCTAAGGGAACCATAGGACATCATTATGCCGACCAACATAAGCACTGTGGAATTCTCAGAAGAATACAGCAAGGGAAAGAGAAATTATTTGAAGAAGTAATAGCCAAAAACTTCCCAAATTTGGCAAAAGACATGAATCTAAACATCCATAGCCCCAATGAACTCTATGCAGAATAAACTCAGAGATCAACAAAGAGACACAGTTCAATCAAAATGCTGAAAGACAAAGAATCTTGAAAGCAGCAAGAGAGAAGCTGTTTGTCATATATGAAGGATTCTCAATAAAATAATTATAAACTGAATTCAGCAGCACACTAAAAGGGTTATACACCACAACAACCACCAAGTGGGAGTTATTCCTGGAAGGCAAAGATGGTTCAACATATGAAAATTAATATATGTAATCAATGTAATATATCAAATTAACAGATTGAAGAAGAAAAAACACACATATAATCATCTGAATTGATGCAGAAAAATAACTTGACAAAATTCAACACCCTTTGGTAATTAAATAAAAAAACAAAAAACCACAAAGTAGGGACAGAAAAAAAAACACTTCAACATAAGGAAGCCCTATCTGAAAAAGCAACAATGAACATCATAGTTAACGGTGAGAGACTGAAAGCTTTTCCTGTAAGATCTGGAATAAGGATGCCCGCTTTCACCACTTCTATCCAACACAGTCTTTTCTAGCCAGAGCAATTTTGCAAGAATAACAAATAAACAGCATTCAAATTGGAAAGAAAAAAATAAAATAATCTCTGTATGCAGATGATATAATCATATATGTAGAACACCATAAAGATTCCACACAAAAATTGTTAAAACTAATAAACAAACCTGGCAAAGCTGGAGGATACAAAATCTACACACAAAAATTAGCTGAGTTTCTATACATTAACAATGAACAATTTGGAAGAAAATAAAATTTTATTTATAATCTATCAAAAATAATAAAATACTTATGAATTAAGAAGGCAAAAGATTTGCATAATAAAACTACAAATACTGCTGAAGGAAATTAAAAGAGAAATGGAAAGACACTCATGGTCATGGACTGGAAGACAATATTGTTAAAATGTCGATGCTACCCAAAAGAGTGTACAGACTCAATGTAAGCCCTATCAAAATCCCAACAATGTTTTTTGCAGAAATAGAAAAACAATCCTAAAATCCATGTGAAATCAAGGGACCCAAATATCTAATATCATCTTGAAAAAGATCTTGAATAAGTTGGTGTACTCTCACTTCCTGATTTCAAAACCTACCTCAAAAGTTACAATCATCAATGTAGTACTGGCATAAAGACAGATATACAGACCAATGCAACAGAATAGCCCAGAAAAAAACCCTCGTACATATGTTGAGATGACTTTCAACAAGTAGGCCAAGACCATTCAATGGCGAAAGGACAGTCTTTTCAACAAAGAATGCTGGGAAAACTAGATATCCACATGCAAAAGAATAAAAGTGGACTCATGCCATATATAAAAATTAATTTGGCCGGGCACAGTGGCTCACACCTATAATTCCAGCACTTTGGGAGGCCAAGGCGGGTGGATCACCTGAGGTCAGGAGTTTGAGATCAGCCCGGCCAACATGGTGAAACCCCGTCACTACTAAAAATACAAAAATTAGCCAGGCATAGTGGTGGGCGCCTGTAGTCTCAGCTACTCGGGAGGCTAAGGCAGGAGAATCCCTTGAACCTGGGAGGCAGAGGCTGCAGTGAGCCCAGATAGCGCCACTGCATTCCAAGCCTAGGTGACAGAGTGAGACTCTGTCTCAAAAAAAAATTTTTTTTAATTAATTAAAATAGATCAAAGACCTAAATGTAAAAGGCAAAACTATAAAACTCTAAGACGCAAACAGAAAAATGCTTCATGACACTGGATTTAGCAATAACTTCTTGGATATAACATCAAAGACATAGCCAACAAATAAAAAATAGACAAACTGGACTCTATAAAAATGTAAAGCTTCGTGAATCAAAAGACACTATCTATAGAATACAACAACCCACAGAATGAAAGAAAGTATCTGCAAATATCTGATAAGGGATTAATATCTAGAATATATAGAAAACTCTTAAAACTCAACAACAAAACAGCCAGATTCAAAAAAAAGAAAAATACTTTAATTGACATTTCCCCCAAGGATGTACAAATGGTCAATAAATATATAAAATGATGCTCAGCTCACTAATCATTAGGAAAATGCAAATCAAAACCACAGGAGGTGCCATGTTACAGCTATTAAAATGGGTATCATTAAAAAAAAAAAAGAAAGAAAAAGGCAACATGAGAAAATAACAGTGTTGGTGAGGATGTAGAGACACTGAAACCCTGTACACTCTTGGTGGAAATACAAAACAGGGCAGCTACTATGAAAGACAGTGTGGCAGTTCCTACAAAAATTAAAAATAGAATTACCACATGAACCACCAATTCCACTTCTGAGTATATGCCCAGAAGAACTGAAAGTGAGGTCCTGAAGGGATGTTTTTATATTCATGTTCATAGCAACAATATTCACAATAAGCTAAAACACAAAAGTAACCCCAGTGTCCACCAAAAGATGAATGCATAAGCAAAATGTAGTATATATACACAATGGAATACTGTTCAGCCTTTTAAAGGAAGGAAATTCTGACACATGTAGAAAGAAATTCTACAACATGGGTCAATCTTGATGACCCTATGCTGAGTGAAATAAGTCAGTCACCAAATGACAAATACTGTAAGATTGTGCCTATATGAGATACTTAGAGTACTTAAGTTCATAGAGACAGGAAGTAGAATGGTGGTTGCCACAGGAAGGCATGGAGGAGAATAAGAAGTTATTGTTTAATGGGTATAGAGCTTCAATTCTGCAAGATAAAAGGAATTCTAGAGATGAATGATGATGATGGTTTCACAACAATCTAAATGTACTTAACGCCATGGACTGTATTCTTAAAAATAGTTAAGATGGTAAATTTTGTTGTATGTATTTCCCACAAAAAACTTTTAATTGTGCTAGGGTAATTGACTATTTATGTTTTTAAAAAGTTGATTCCTTACTTGAATAGTATACTGTCCTCCACAAAATAAATCAACTTGAGATAGCTTACAGACCTCCATGTAAAAGGCAAAACTATGTTTCTGAAGAGAATAGAGATGATTGCTTTTATGCTTTCAGGTAGAAAAATATTTCTTAGGAAATAAATGGCACTATTAAGTAAAATATTAATAAATTCATTTTTATTAATATCTAAACTTCTGTTCATAAAAAGACAACAGAATGAAAATAACAAGACAAAGTAAAACATGGAAAGACACCTGTAAAACATATGCCCCATAAAGAAATTTTATCCCTATACTGAAAAACATTATGAACTTGTATCTACAATATATATATAACAACTATGAATCAATTTTTTATATCCTGAAGAAATGTAAATGACCAATAAACACATGGAAAAGGTACTCAAGTAAGTCATGGAAATATATATTCAAATTATGAAGTAACAATAAATATCTAAGAAATTAGCAAAAAGTCTGTCAATACTAACTGGTGACAAGAACACAGGGCATCAGAAATTCTCACACATTGCTAATGGGAATATAAACTGGAAAAACTACCTGAGAAATATGGTTTAACCTATAAAATTCAAATTAAATGTCCTCTATAACCCAGCAATTCCATTCTGGGTGAATATGAAGGCTTACATATACCACATAATAAAAGTGCAAAACAACATTATTCATAATTGCCAAAATCTGGCAACATGCAAATGTCTATCAGCAATAGAATTAGTATATTATCTATGCATAAAATTGACTAAAAAACATTAATGAGGCCTAATGATGGAGAACCATAACTACATAAAAATTATAGAAGCATGATGTTAAGAGGAAAAAGGAATCACCAAAGAATACTCACAGTTTGATTATATGTATTTGAAGCTAATAATTGGTAAAACTATCGTATAGATGTGCATACAAGGTAGAAAAACATTAAGCAAGGTGATCGAAATTAAATTAAGTGGTCAAGAAAGGTACATTTTGCTACTTGGGAGTCTGATCAATTTAATTCTCCCAAAGATGAAGCTCAACCCAAAGACTCTTATTTCCAAGAAGTAAAAATCAATAGATAAAGCTCAATGTCAAAGACTCTTCTGTTTACTCCCAAGAATTCAGAATAAGGAAAATCAGGAGATAATTGGTTTAATTATACCAATCAAAATTTTGTCACATTAATTCTGTCTTAATTAATTGGTCGATCTCTTCATCCTTTAAGGAAAAAAGGTAAGGCTGGGCAACATAGTGAGATCTTGTTGTTACTAAAAATTTAAAAAATAAAATTAGCTGGTATGGTGGTGCATGGCTGTAGTCCCAGCTCTCAAGAGGCTGAGGCAAAGAGGATCACTTGAGCCCAGGAGGTTAAGGCTGCAATAAGCCATAATTGTGTCACTGCACTCCAGCCTGCCTGACAGCAAGGAAAAGACTCTATCACCAAAAAAAAAAAAAAAAAAAAAAAAAAAAAAAAAGTGGAAAAGAGAAGAAGCGTGATATCAAATATAATATTACATATACATTATTACATCTTGCCTCAGCTAAATTTGTTCAAGTAAAGATAAATAAAATAACAGTTTAAAAAAGACGTTTTCCCTGTTACAATGATTCCTCAGTGGCAAAATCAGTATTTGGAGGGGAAGGTGTTTCCTCAGATTATTAGGATCCCTAAAACAATTCAATAAGCAATCCCTGAATAACCGCAGTTTAGAGACCAAAATATTCTTTTATCTAACAGCTTACCGTCCACAAGCAATCTGAGTGACAATGCTTCCCATAAGTTCAAAAACTTTCCTTGGGTTTATTTCATGACTGGTAGAATTATGGCCCAACTGACCATACCCTCCAGCTCCAAAAGTAAACACTCCACCTTCCTAAAAAAAAAAAAAAAAAAGAAAAAAGAAACAAAACCCGTTACCATTAGAAGGAATTATAAAAGAAAATAACAGGAAAATAAGTTAAAAGTCCAAATCTTTAATATAAACTCAGTTTTTTTATCTTCTACAAACTGTCTTCACAATTTGACAGAGAGATGGCAGCTGGCTCTATCAAAGTAAAATGTCATAAAACTATGAGAACTCCAGGTAATGATGTTTTCACCATTATAAAATATTTAAAGTAGTCACTAGAGACACAAATAATTATTTGCATTGCCTTTCGCTATCACTATACTGTCTTGCTGAATTCCAAGTACATATATAAGATTTCACAAAACCTAAAAATGGTATCATCTTCCCTTTCCAAGGTAGTTATTGCCTTACGTAAATAATCTGCAAAAAGAGTGCATATAACCAGAATGCACAAATATAACAATTTTTATTTACTTATTTATTTATTCAGACAGGGTCTTGCTCAGTCACCCAGGCTTCAGTATAGTGGCATGATCACGGCTCACTGCAGCCTTAACCTCCTGGGCTCAAGTGATCCTCCCACCTCAGCCTCCTAAGTAGCTGGGACTGCAGGCATGCACCACCATGTCTGGCTAATTTTTTACTTTTCTGTAGAGATGGCATCTTCCTGTGTTGTCCAGGTTGGTCTCAAACTCCTGGGTTAAATTAATCCTCTTGCCTCTGCCTCCTGAAGTGCTGGGATTACAGGCATGAGCCACCATGCGTGGCCTTATAGTAATTTTTAGCATGCAGTTACAATGATATAGAGATGTCTTTTAAAAAAAACTCTTCTTAGGCTGGGCGCGGTGGCTCAAGCCTGTAATCCCAGCACTTTGGGAGGCCAAGGCGGGTGGATCACGAAGTCAAGAGATCGAGACCATCCTGGTCAACATGGTGAAACCCCGTCTCTACTAAAAATACAAAAAATTAGCTGGGCATGGTGGCGTGTGCCTGTAATCCCAGCTACTGAGGAGGCTGAGGCAGGAGAATTGCCTGAACCCAGGAGGCGGAGGTTGCGGTGAGCCGAGATTGCGCCATTGCATTCCAGCCTGGGTAACAAGAGCAAAACCCCGTCTCAAGAAAAAAAAAAAAAAAAAGAAAACAACTCTTCTTATAAAAATAACTTAGGCAGGTAGATCACTTGAGGTCAGGAGTTCGAGACCAGCCTGGCCAATGTGGCGAAACCCCATATCTACTAAAAATACAAAAATTAGGTGTGATGGCAGGTGTCTGTAGTCCCAGCTACTTGGGAGGCTGACGCAGGATAATCACTTGAACCCAGGAGGCACAGGTTGCCATGAGCCAAGATCATGCCACTGCACTCCAGCCTGGGTGACAGAGCGAGACTCTGTCTCAAAACAAACAAACAAAACATGTAACATATAACTAAATTAGAAGTTCTGTATTAGAAAAAATCTATGATGACAACACAATCACAATTAGTATTTTTCAGCTCGACTGCTTTTCTTCATAGTTATAGCTATATATGCAACTTTATATTCTGCTTTCATCATTTAATAGCATCATTACCTACTGTTACATGAGAATATTCATTTTTCTTTTTTTAATCATAGAAAATGTCAAGCAAATATACAAAAGTAAAGAGAAAATATAGTAAATCACCATAAAACCATCACTAAGTTTCAATAACTGGCAAAAGGTTGGTTTGTTTGTTTCATTGGTGTCTCCCTTTCCCTTTTGGAGTATTTTAAAACAAAACAAAAAGCACTCAAGTACTTTAAAGCAAATTGTGGTCATCAAATCATTTCACCCACAAATGTGTATCTTCAACAGCATATATCTCTAATAGATAAAAGTATATAACCACAATACTATTATCACATTCACAAAATCAATACTAATTTCTTAATATCATCTAATAACCAGGCCATGTTTAAATTTACCTATTTTATTGCATCATTTCACAAAGCATATGTCTGCTTTTTTAGTAAAGTTAAAAATAATTAAGTTGGGTCTGGCACGATGGCTCACGCCCATAATCCCAGCACTTTGGGAGGCCAAGGCAGACAGATTATTTGAGGTCAGGAGTTTGAGACCAGCCTGGCCAACATGCTGAGACCCCGTCTCTACTAAAAATACAAGCGTAGTGGTGTATGCCTGTAATCCCAGCTATTCAGGAGGCTGAGGCAGGAGAATTGCTTGAACCCGGGAGACAGAGGCCTACGGTGAGCTAAGATCACACCACTGCACTCCAACCTGGGCAACACAGTGAGACTCTGTCTCAAAAAATAACAATAAAATAAAACATAACAAATAAAAATAAGTAACTCAAAGTGTGTCAGCCTGATACATCCCCATTAGGCTCGATGTTCTTTGCCTAGATCCATTATTTATCAGAGAGTGTAAAATGGTGATTTTTCTAGTTTTATTATTTTTCCTAGAGTTATGAGCTAGAATTCTTCTCTAAAGAACTTATTAAGTTACCCTAAAATACAATTTGCAAATGAAAGGCTGAAAACTTGATTCTTTCCCACTATTCACCAATGAAAAAAAATGAGTGCTGTCCTAGCAACCTCCAAAGGTAAGCAATAAGTTTTGCTTATATTGATTTGGGGGAAGAGAGTATCATCACAAACTCATGGATTTTTAATAGATCTGACATTTTCCATTTTTTGCAGTCATTATTTCTTCTCGATATCCAGCGAAACCTCCTTCAAGTTGTCCTTCTGACATGACAGTAGTAATTTTTGCTTTTTTATACCACAAAGTGCCCAAAGGTGTTCTTATAAATATTTTTTGCCACAGACATGAGATCAGACTCTTCTCTAAGAAGTCCTGGTTCCTTTTAATAGAGAATCAACAGCAATCAAGGCATTACCATTGTGTCCAGATTGCACATGGTTCATTACTTCTAGGACCTTTCAGTGGTTATGGTAAACAAAAACAAAAACAAAACAACAAAAACATATTCTTAGAGAAAAACAAATGAAGAGGTCATACTAATACTTGTGATTCAAAGTAAAGATCACAAGGTTTTAACTCAATTCCTAAAGTTTTATGCCTATCTCTTTTCTCTTAAGCTGAAAATCATAGTTTCTAATACAGTAAAATAACTACTTCTTTGCTTTCGCCTATTTATATGTAATATATTGGAAAAATGACAATAGCAAATTTACTTCTAATAATAAGACTACAAAATGCACACTTGTAACCCCAGCATTTTGGGAGGCTGAGGTAGGAGGCTCATTTGAAACCAGGAGTTCGAGACCAGTCTGGGCACCAAAGCGAGACACCAACTCTACAAAAAATAAAAAGATTAGCCAGGCATAGTGGTGCATGCCTGTAGTTCCAGCTACTCAGGAAGCTGAGGTGGGAGAACTGCTTGAGCCCAAGAATTTGGTCATAGCTGCAGTGCACTATGACTGCCACTGCGCTCCAACCTCAGCAACAGAATGAGGCCTCCATCTCAGAAAAAAAAAAAAAATTACAGAATGTAGTTTAAGGGATGGGTGCAGTGGCTCTTGCCTGTAATTCTAGCATTTTGGGAGGCTGAGGCAGATAGATTGCTTGAGGTCAGGAGTTCGACACCAGCCTGGACAATGTGGTGAAACCCTGTCTCTACTAAAAATACAAAAAAATTAGCTGGGGGTGTAGTCCCAACTAATCAGGAGGTTGAGGCAGGAGAATTGCTTGAACCCAAGAGGTGCAGGTTGCCGTGGGCTACTGTACGACAGAGCAAGACTCCATCTCAAAAAAAAAAAAAAAGAAAACAAAAAGAATGCAGTTTAAGATTTCTTTGTGGATTCAGTTTATCCCTAGTGTATTTCCCCCTGGTGATGTGCTGCAAAATGCTGTAATTTAAAATTACCTAAAATAATTCTTTCTTGTGTAATTGTGCCACTAACTTATTAGTTTTCAATTTTAAGGATTAATATTTACATAACTTACATATATATATGATTTTACTTTTTTTCGGAGTTGGAGTCTCGCTCTGTTGCCCATGCTGGAGTACAGTGGTGCGATCATAGGTCACTGCAAACTCTGCCTCCAGGGTTCAAGTGATTCTCTTGCCTCAGCCTACCAAGTAGCTAGGATTACAGGTGCCTGCCACCACACCTGACTAATTTTTTGTATTTTTAGTAGAGAGGGGGTTTCATCATGTGGGCCAGGCCGGTCTCGAACGCCTGACCTTGTGATTTACCCGCCTTGGCCTCCCAAAGTGCTGGGATTACAGGCGTGAGCCACCACACCCAGCCATAATTTTCCTTCTCAATTACATGTAATAGTTTCTAGATTCCAAAGTCAAAAATTGTAAGGCAAGGCACATTTGTTCTGGCTATTAATTTTTAATTTATTGTATTTTTAAAAACATATGGCCAGACATGGTGGCTCACACCTGTAATCCCAGCACTTTGGGAGGCCAGGGTGGGCGGATTACTTGAGGTCAGGAGTTCAAGACCAGCCTGGCCAACATGGTGAAACCCTGTCTCTACAAAAAATAGCTGGGTATGATGGTGCACGCCTGTAATCCCAGCTACTTGGGAGGCTGAGGCATGAGAATCGCTTGAACCTGGGAGGCAGGAGGTTGCAGTGAGCCAAGATTGTACCAGTGTACTCCAGCCTGGATGACAGAGTGAGACCATCTCCAAAACAAACAAACAAGGCATGTGATATATGTTCATATTTTGGTCACTTTCTTACAAAAAGACTTGCTCTTTTCACTCAGCAATATATCCTAGAAATCATTCCACAACATAAAATAGAAATCTTCCTCCTTCTGTTTTACACTTTACTGTACTTCATTATAGGGATGTACCACAATTTATTTAACTCATGAACATTTGGATTTGGATTTCTTCTAGTCTTTTGCTATTAACATGCCACAATAAATGGTCCTGTGCATTCATAATTTCACATCTTTGGGGTAGTTTCCTAAAAGTGGGACTGCTAAATCAATGTGTATTTGTATGTGATTTACATAATACATTTGCATAGAACTTATAAAAAATATGACATCTTTATGGAAGTATTCTCATATCTATAAACATGGCATGTCTTTCCATTTATTCTGTTTTTAAACGTTGGCTTTAAAATATTTCCTAATGTCATTTTCCTAGTGTAGGTTTTGTACAGAAAACTGCTTCATAAAGCAATCTTAATCTATTTACTATTTCCAAGAAATTCTTCCAGAAAAGCAAGACATATGGATATGGAACACGTATTTAACTTAAATCAAGGGAAAATAAAATATTTTACTTTGGGGATATTTACAACTAATTTTGTTAAAAATAATGTACACTCAAACTTCCAATGAACAAATATCACTAGCTACTGTCTTCTGAGAGAGGAATACACAAGATTAATAGAATTAGCATTTCTTAAAACTAAATAGACATAAAAAGTTACTTATCTTAGAATATTACGATGAATGATTACCTGATAGGCTGAATTTGAAAAAGTAGTAACATTGTTAGTCCTTCTGCCATAAAATTAGTTTTTGGAATGATACAACACACAAATATTTTTTATATTTGGTAAAAAATATTTTTGCTATTATTTTTTTACATAGCCTTCTTTCTTCCAAATACCAATAACAAAACAGGATGAGTAAAATTTAAAACTTGCCAACAGGAATAAATAAGACTTCAGTGATTACATCTGTAATGTGAATGCCAAAATCAATAAAATATGGTATTAGGTTGGTGCAAAAGTAATTGCAGTTTTTACCATTAATGGCAAAAAAAAAAAAACGAAATTACCTTTGCACCAACCTAATAATAAGATTGGCAGGTAGAATGATCCTTCCTTACTGAAAGGCAAGTAATACAAAATACTTTAACTTTCATAATTAGTCATTATATTTTTTAAAGTGCATTGAGTTCACTATATTTGACAATGACGAAGAATTCTTGCCCTACTAAAATTCCCAAGTAAAAATAAGAGTGCAGCATTTTAAAGCCTGATTAGAAGTTAATTTTTTTTTTTTTCCAAGCAAGGTCTCACTCTGTCTCCCAGGCTGCAGTGCAGTGGTGTGACCTCGGCTCACTGCAAACTCCGCCTCCCAGGTTCAAGCAATTCTCCTGCTTCAGCCTCCCAAGTAGTTGGGATTATAGGTGCCTGCCATTGCACACCCAGGTAACTTCAATTCTCTGGTAAAGGTTAGTTGAATGCTTTCATTTTCATCTAACTTCCAGTCACTAGAGAACTAAACAGTACTGATACTCAATTGGCACATACCCAAGACAATGAGAGGTCAGAGTTAAAGCAATTGATAAGACTGTGATGAAAGCTTGCTGCAACTGTTTGCACAGTACTTGGCCAATGAATAACAGAGAGATTCAGTCTCCTCTATTGCTTATATGAAATATTCAAAGCAAAACGGAAACTAAATTCAAATTAGGCTGAGCTACACAATACAAATGGGCTTGATACATATATAGCATGATGAGACTAATGAATTAAAATGGAATAATTTTATTCAAAGTATGATTTAAGCAGTATGTCATATAAAGCTGAGAAATTCGGCAATATATACTATCACATATAATAGTATATCAGAATTCACATTTCACAACATAAAACAGTTGAAAAATAAGGTAAATTATTTTCAAGAATAAAGAGTCTAAGTTTTTTTCCCAGATAAATTATGTCTGAAACACCAACAATACTCAAGTTAAAACTTGAGAAAATATGAGAACATTCATTAATTATGAAAGAAATATAAGTAATAATCAAGAAGTTTTAAAAGTACAATACCTTGGTTAGTGCAGCAGTATGATCTTCTCCACAACAAATATAAACTATTTTCTGAGATCTTAGTGACTTTAGTAAATTAGGAACATACCTATCTGAAAATTCCAAAACGAGATGTTAACATTATTTTAAAAATTAAAACTTGTCTAAATGTGTATCCTCTACAGCTTCCCAAGCTCAGTAGATAGTTGTGACTAAATAATTTTAACTATGATTCAATGATTTTGTACTATAAGCTTACTAAATCAGGCTCCCAGGCCTATCCATACTATTGTGATAAAAAAGAGACTTAGAGTTAAGTGCTAAATAGTCAATAAGACAATCTGCACAGAACTCAGCAATTAAGGAATTTCAAAATTGTTTAACTGCTTCTAATTTTCCACATATACACATCATTCTTTATATTCACTTCATGAAACTTGTACCGACAAGATCCTGCTTAAGAGCTTGAAAAAGAAAAAGTGTACTTGTGGCTGCTTTGTAGCAGAAAAGATACATGATATCCTAATAGGACACATTTTTCTTATGCAAAACAAGGTATTAATTATTTCTGAAAGTATTGTTTGCTTACCAATACTAGTTCTTACTAGATCAACAACTCGCTTTTGTCCATTTCAGTCATTACAATTATATTGAACTTTAAGAAATTAGCTTTTGTAAATCAAATACTGGCATTCAACTCAATGTAATTATGAAAAATAAGTTCCAAGATCCCAGCTTGTTTCAGTTACAATTTTCTTCAAATTCAAAACACGTTTATTTTTAAGACTTTCGCATCAATGTTAAAAGTAAAGCCCAACCAAAAATTTAACAACCCAAATCATTTAAATATTTCCTTGAAAAACTCAAAGATTAATACTTCATGTTATTTCCCCAGAATAATTTTATAGCTTCTTTCCACTAACAGTGGCCAATAAATGGATTGATCAACAATTTGAAGATGAACATCCAATACTGAAGATTTTGTCCAGATACACTTTTTATAGGTTTTAATGAAAAAAGGGTATTTTTATCTTTCTGCTGCATTCCCCAAATGAAATTTTTTTTTTTTTTTTTGAGACAGAGTTTCACTCTTGTTGCCCAGGCTGGAGTGCAATGGCGCGATCTCGGCTCACCGCAACCTCCGTCTCCTGGGTTCAGGCAATTCTCCTGCCTCAGCCTCCTGAGTAGCTGGGATTACAGAAATGCGCCACCATGCCCAGCTGATTTTTTGTATTTTTAGTAGAGACGGGGTTTCACTATGTTGACCAGGATGGTCTCGATCTCTTGACCTCGTGATCCACCCGCCTTGGCCTCCCAAAGTGCTGGGATTACAGGCGTTAGCCACCGCGCCCGGCCCCAAATGAAATTTTTAAATATCATCTCATTCCCATGTCTATACCAGGGAAGTTTTGGATACATTTCTCTCTTACAGTAAGAATCACTGATCTATCTGAAAACATCACCTCTTTAAAAAAGTACATGCAAACTATACATAATGAGAACCTACCATTTTCATCATTAAGACCTAGCTGACCAAACTTGTTGCGTCCCCATCCAAAGATAGCTCCAGAAAGGGTGAGTACAAAACTATGGGCTCCTCCTGCTGCAACTTGCATGAAAGGGATTCCAAGCAAAGACTTAATCAGCTGTGGTGAGGTTTGCTTTTTACAGTCAGTACCTAAACCCAATTGGCCATATTTATTCTGTCCCCAACAGAAGATTTCACTTGCTGTAAAACAATAATAGAAAAATTAACCATTTTTCTCACATGCAAAAAATTTAATTTGAAAATCATTTCATTTCAAATTTCATATAAAGAATATTATTTTGGGACATTCTTCAGATTATCAAAAGAATATACATATTCTTTTTAGCAATTATGCTTATTTCTTATATGAAAATATACTACTACCTAGAAGAACATTCAGTATTAGTACACTTTAACTTTGACTACACAATGAACAGGTGAGTCACTTAACAAGGAGTAATCTCATTTTTTTATGCTCAACAGTCTCCTGTTAATATTCCTTGAGTATCATTTTTGTTCTGTAATTGCTCCCAAGAGGCATTCATTCAAGGTCAAAACTTTAGTAACTCTATGTTGATCACATTCAAAATTTAATCACTAGCCCAAACGTATCCTGAGCAAAAAACCCATTGTTTACCTGACATCTATACGCGGATATTTCAAAGGAACTTCTAACTTAGGATGCCACAGACTGAATTCATCACCCCATCCTACTTCCCTGGACCTTTTTTCAGTGTTCCCCATTTCAGTAAATAACATCATAACTGACTCAGTAGCAAAAATTACAAACCTAGGGAGTCTTCCTTAATACTCCTTTTGTTTTTTATCTCACACATATCCAGTCTAAATTATATATCACCAGTTATATATATAGTTTTCTTTCTAAATAAAAATATGACAAATAGATCCTTCCTCACCATCTTACCTGATTCTTAAGATAGTTTTCCTGCCTGTCACTTTTGTTCCCATACTGCCATGCTATTTGGAAACTTTAGACATCCTTTTATTAAACTAACAACTGGCACTAAATAACTGATACACTAGTTAACTTTTTTTAAATTGAAATTACGAAACAGCACATACTTAAAAAGCAAGCTTCCTTCCAAAAAAATCAGAATCCTGGTTCCTCTTCCAAGAGACAATCACTCTTACCAATTACTGGTAAGTCATTCAAGAAATGTTCTATGCACATATAAACAGACATGTGTATCTCTGTGTATACACACAGAGATATTGTAAAAATGCAGATTTGATCATATTGCTCACCCCAAAAAATATGTTTCAGTGCTTTCTTGTTGCTCTTGGGATAAACACTTTAAACAAGGCCTATAAGGTGCTATATGATCTACCTATGTTTCCAATCTCTTATCATACCAGTTTCTTCCCTCACTCACTATACTCTAGCCATAGTTGCCTTCCTTTATATTCTCCAAAGGCCACTTCTGACACACTTGCCGTTCTCTCTACCTAAACCTTCCCCTCATCTTTGTCCAGTTCGTTTCAACTCTCTCCCAGCTGGAGCCTTCCTTCCCTGATCTCCCAGATTAGGTCTAGTACCCCTATCATATGTTCTAAATACCCTGAAGTTTTTCTTTATAGCCCTTATCATACTATGTAATTACGTCATTATTTGTATGACTGTATCATGAGGGCTAGTAAGTAGAGCATTGCTATCACTATGTACTGTAGTATGCCTAGCTCATACTAAGGGCTCTAAAAAATGTCTAGCAAATGAGTAAGATTTTGCCTACAGCATAAAGCTGAGTAAGGCAAAAAAGAAAAAAAAAAAATAGGTCAATATGAAAAACTGTCCTCAGTAAAACCTTTTGAGTTTATATTTATATTAGATCCACCTACCAAAATATCAAAAGAGCAGTTGGCAAAACAACAAAGAACACACAGAGATTCCATGTTCCTAACTGCCTACAGAAGTCCAAATACCTTAATATGACATTTATGGCCCTTTATAACAGATTTCTCTCTTTATTTCAGCCTAAAGCATGAGTATGTCTCCCATTCCCTCACAACACCCACATAAAACTACATGCCAATATTCAAATACACCACTTTCTTAACTCTATGCCTTTACACTAGCACAACCCCTTAGCCACTCGACATTTCTTCTAGTCCTCAACATTTCTCCAATTATTAATAAATAAGAAAATAAATCTTTAAAGCCTGCATCAAATACTAATCCCTTCCTTATTGTTACCAATTATATCAATTAGAAACAATTATATTATTGTCACAGCATTGTACCTTTACCTTGTCTGAAAGAGTACATATTTTTTTCTGCCTCAAACTACAGTTATTTACTTGGACATCTGTCTCTTTCACTAGACTGTATGATCCCTAAACCTGCCTCTTTATTTATCTGTGCTTTCCCATGGTTCTACCTTAGTGTTTATTTGTAGTAGGCTTCACTAAATAATAGTAACAATGGAGCAACTGGAATCTATTTCTTTTAATGGTAAAAAACATACATATGGTGATTCTTTACTAACCCATGTTCCAGTCCTTAGCTAGGACACTAATAAGTTAATCAGTAATAGAGGAGTGCAAACCAAACTAATAAATATGTTTGGCCTTCTCTATTTCTATTCATAGAAAGATCATCTGTGAGATTAAATGAGATTGGGGAAGCAATCTTCCCCAGTTGCAGCTATGAAAAGTTTTTAACTGGTTAATAAATAGACACAAAAATCAATTTCATGTCTATATAATAAACAAAAAATGACACCATTCACAACAACAAAAAACCAAATATCTAGGGGAAAGTCTAATCAAAGTTGTATAAGACCTGTCCAGGTTAAAAAAACGCTAATGTGAAAAATTAAAGGGAGACTTAAATGGACGAATATACCATGTTCTAGAATTGAAATGTTCAATATCGTAAAGATTTTCCTTGAATTGATTTATGGAGACAATGAAATCCCAATCAAAATCTCGGGGGGGAGGTGGTGTGTGTGTGTGTGTGTGTGTGTGTGTGTGTGTGTGTGTGTGTGTGTGTGTGTACAGACTAATGAGCTAATTCTAAAAGTTATATGGAAATGAAAAGGATCAAGAACCAGGACAATCTTGGAGAAAGATGAGCAAAGTTGGAGAACTATATGCACAATAGAAAAGGTATCAAGTAATAAAACTGAAGGGAAATCAAATAAAAACGAATGTTTACCTTTAGAAAGTGCAAGTGAATGATAGTAACCACAAGCAACCTGTACAATCTGGATATCTGACAAACTTTTAATATTTCTAGAAAAGAAGAAGACAGATCAATATCAGTTAATTCCATTTAACAAATTGATCCTGAATACTATTTACTACTTATTGATGGCCTACTATATGCACATAGGTCACACTAGTTTTTCCATACAAGCCCAATTTTAGCATACCATAGATTTATGCTAAAATCAGTAAATAAGAGCCAGATACAAAAAAAATAAAATTAAAAGGGATGATAAGGAAACACCTTGGAATACAATACTGAAGCAAAGTGAGCTATGTTCATACCTCAAGTACTCTTCAGAGTGCTCTTATAATTCAGACATTTTCTTTCATTATAAAAAAAGTTTTTTAAAATCATCAGCTTACAGTTAGAAACTTGGCAATACATTTGGAAAGCAAATGTACATTATCTAATTTGTCTAAAATTGTTTTGCCTAATTTAATGTACGTTCTCCTTTATCAGGTTTCTTAAGAACTAATAGGGCTTTTTATCATGTTCTACCAACTCACAAATTATGAAACCTATTCCTTACAAGCTATCCTTCTGCTCTACGTCTAAATCAGGGACATTTAATTTTTTTGCTAGAGAAATTTACTCAATTCACATTTATAACAATCACTACTAATATGTTAAGTCTTATTTTCTTCTCTCTTGTATTTTGTCCTTACGCTTTCATAATTTCTTCCCCTCCTTTCCTGAGTTTTATTTTACCACCATGCAATTTTAAAGGCTCATTTTAAAAACATTATAAAAATCAATTAACTTTGCATGTACATCAACCATCCCAGCATCTCCTTAGGTTCTTTCCCTTTACCTGGTCATGCCACTGTTTTTCCTGAATGAATGTTTTCAAGAAAAAAAAGGGGGGAGCCTGGATGTGGATTACAGGTAGTTTACTGTAATCCCAGCATTTCCGGAGGCCAAGACAGGTGGATCGCTTGAGATCAGTCAGGAGTTTGAAACCAGCCTGGCCAACCTGGTGAAGCCCTGTCTCTACTAAAAATAGAAACAGGAAAAAAAAAGAAAAAAAAAAAGTTAGCCAGGTATGGTGGCACACACCTGTAGTCCCAGCTACTCAGGAAGCTGAGACAGGAGAATCACCTGAAAGCAAGAGGCAGAGGCTGTAGTGAGCCAAGATCACACCATTGCACTCCAGCCTAGGCAACAGAGTAAGACCCTATCTCAAAAAAAAAAAAAAAAAAAAAAAGAAAAGAAAAGAAAAGAAAAAAAGGGGGGATGGGGAGGTACACTATGTTTCTTACTTCCTTTTACCTGATACTGTCACCTGACCTGATTCTGCCATAAGAGAGTCCGGAGCAAATTCTGACCAGAGAGTCGACACACATGATTTTCGGGAGGCAGCTTCAGCAAATCAAATTTTGAGCAGGAGAAAGGAGAGTTACTCTAATTCCATATTATTGTATTAAAAATATTTTTATTTAGTGGATTTATGCTTTTAACTACAAAACTTGAGAGTTGTATTGCTACAATTTAGCAGAATCCAACGAATTAGCAGGATGCAATGTACCTTCAAATTTTCAGACTTAACAAACTACCATTTCTTTCAAATAGCAAAATCAAACACTGGCAATGCAAAAAGAGTAAGGAATAAAAAATACATGAACATACACAACTGTGCTCAAATTACTAAACATTTACTGTTACTGCTTATGTGTACTAGGCAGACGATACATTGACCTGTTCAGCATATTAAGTATTTTAGAAAAATAAAAAATAAAAAAACAAAAAAACACCACTCCGGATATCAAGTACAATTTTGCAAAAGAAACATGTCAAAATACTACATTCTCATAGTACTCTGTTTTTTCCTTCATAGTATTTATTGGTACTAACTATTAGTGTACATATTCATTTAATTTTTGTCTCTTCTGCTAAACAATAAATTCTGTGAAGGCAGACTATGTGTCTTAAAACCATGATAATCCCTAGCACCTACTATAGTGCCTAATTAATAGTATGTATTGAATATACTGTTCAAGGATAAATAAATTTGTATCGTCTTGGAGGCTTTAGTATTAATTAGTCATAAAATTTACAAAAAAACTTCTAAATTTGCATAGCGATTTATACTTAGTTACTCTCCTTTCCAAAATACTAACCTAAGGCTTGTGAATACACATAAATGCTAATATATTTTGCCATTATCTACTACAGAGACCAGGAAATACATTCTTCTGTCTCACTGCTGTGTCAAAGAAAAAACTATCCTTTTCCATGTTCATATAAATGTATTAATACCCTGAAGACTGGGCAATATTGCTTTAACTTTCAGAAATTAAAAAAAAAAAAATACTGTGAATAGTAAAATAAAGTTTCCCATGTTCCATTTTTCCTAAAGAGATAACTAGAAAATAAATAAATGTTTTAGAACTCATCAAAAGTAATCCACTTAGTCACATAAAAAAGATAATGTGTTTAATCGTTTTTGGTTTCTGAAGATTCAAATATACTGAACTGAAAAGCAAAAGAAACCAGAATAAATTTCGTGAATTAAAAAAATATACATACATAGGCATGCATACAAAACATAAAGATTCCTAATTAATCAAATCTATTTTAAAAAATCAGAAATCAGACCTCTAGAGCAAACATTTTATACTGCTTACAAATTTAAAATAACTCTCTAATGTTTAGAGTATGTGAAATATTCTAAATGACTGTGATAGTACTAAAATGATTCATTGTAAATAACTGAACCAGTTCTTGAATAAATTTTAAAAGTAATTTGAAATTCGTAAAAGTTAATAAACTTGGAAATAAGATTTATACACCCTTCCATTGGGACGCTGCTAAAGCATATTAATTACGCAACATGTATACTGTTGTATTCTTCTATTTTTCCAACTTAATGTGTAGCGGCAATACAGGCAGAAACCAGGTACTGCTAGTTATGTTTCTGAAGACAAAATTCCAACTACTAATGTTAATAATTAGTAAAAAGTTTATATTATGTAATTAAACATTTGAGGAACTAAAGCATTAAATATTTTGCCAATTAAACAGAATTAACAATTTTCTATTTTCCAGTTAAGCCACAACTTTCCTAGCTATTTAAGAAAAATCCTTTAGCTGGGCATGGTGGCGCGTGCCTGTAATCCCAGCTACTCAGGAGGCTGAGGCAGGAGAATTGCCTGAACCCAGGAGACGGAGGTTGCGGTGAGCCGAGATCACGCCATTGCACTCCAGCCTGGGTAACAAGAGCGAAACTCCATCTCAAAAAAAAAATAAATAAATAAATAAATAAATAAAAATAATAATAAATAAATAAATAAATAAATAAATAGAAAGAAATAGTCCATAGGGTCGAGGTCAGCCAGCCTGAGGAACTGAGCAACATGGGTGGGAAGGCGAGCCCAGCTTAAAAGAGAGAGAGAGAGGAAAAAAAAAAAAAAAAAAGAAAGAAAAAAAAGAAAAATCTTAACATCAACTCATTTCAATTTTCAAAAATTTATCTCACATTAGGGGAGATGATATTTTTAAAAAATGAAAAATTTAAACAACTGATCCAGTCTGTACCATTAAAAAGTACTCTTTTTCTTTTTAATCTACAATGCTCTAAAATTTCATATGCTAATATTAGGCAGAAATTGTAACATTTTTAAATGAATAACAAGAAAATAAATTGTATTTTTGGCCTGGCGCGGTGGCTCACACCTGTAAATCCCAGCACCTTGGGAAGCCGAGGCAGGTAGATCATGAGGTTAAGAGATCGAGACCATCCTGACCAACATGGTGAAACCCTGTCTCTATTAAAAACTACAAAAATTAGCTGGGTATGGTGGTGTGTGCCTGTAGTCCCAGCTACTCTGGAGGCTGAGGCAGCAATCACTTGAGCCCAGGAGGCAGAGGTTGCAGTAAGCGGAGACTGCACCACTGTACTCCAGCCTAGCAACAGAGCGAGACTCCATCTCAGGTTAAAAAAAAAAAAAAAAAAAAAAAAGAAAAGAAATAAACAAACAAATTTTTGACCCAGCTAATAATTCAAACATATTTAGTTTGTACAGTCCAGAAATAGCTGTACTCACAAAAATAATAATCTTATACTACCTTGCCGTAATTTTTTAGTGCATATGTCGAAATAGCAGAACTTTTAAAGGATAAACTACATCTTTACTGCCAATTATTTTTCTGAAGTCTGTGAGCAAAGTTATGTATTTCCACTTACATTAAACTAAGATAACAAAATTTGGGTAATTTTTTTAAAATAATAAGATATAATACATACTCTACATTAAAATCTAGCCAGAAATGCAGGTCTACAGACACTAACTAACACTATTTAAAATACTTGCTCTTTCCCAAAGTAGTGACTTCAAAACAAAACAAACTTAGAAGTAGGAAAGAATTCATTAACAAAACTAATTAGTTTCAGCTATATCCCATTACTAATTTCACATTCTTCTTTAATATTATCCATTCATTGGCATAAAAAATGGATTTTGTCTCAAAAGTATAATCTCATGTGAATCTTTTCTGATTACTTTTTTTTTTTTTTTTTTGAGATGGAGTTTCTTTTTGAGATGGAGTCTCACTCTGTCGCCCAGGCTGGAGTGCAGTGGCGCGATCTCGGCTCACTGCAATCTCCACTTCCCGGGTTCAAGCAATTCTCTGCCTCAGCCTCCTGAGTAGCTGGATTACAGATGCCCGCTACCACACTCGGCTAATTTTTTGTGTTTTTAGTAGAGATGGGGTTTCGCCATACTGGCCAGGCTGGTCTTGAACTCCTCACCTTGTGATTTACCTGCCTCAGCCTCCCAAAGTGCTGGGATTACAGGTGTGAGCCACTGCACCTGGTTTTTTCTGATTACTCTTATGAAAATCTATGAACACTAGACAAGACACAGGGGCTCATGCCTGTAATCCCAATCTTTTAGGAGGCCAAAGCCAGTGAATCCCTTGAGTCCAGGAATTTGAGACCAGCCTGGGCAGTAACATGGAAAAACTCCGTCTCTACAAAAAATATAAAAACTGGCCAGGCAGGCCGGGTGCAGTGGCTCATGCCCGTAATCCTAGCACTTTGGGAGGCCGAGGTGGGTGGATCACCTGAGGTCAGGAGTTCAAGACCAGCCTGGCCATCATGGCGAAACCCCATCTTTATTTAAAAAAAAAAAAAAAAAAATTGGCCAGGCCATAGTGGTGCATGCCTGTAGTCCCAGCTGCTAGGGAGGCTGTGGTGGGAGGATCACTTTCGCCCAGGGGGTTGAGGCTGCAGTGAGCGTAAGCATGCCACTGCACTCCAACCTGGGTGACATAGTAAGACCCGGTCTCAAAAAAAAAAAATAAATAAATAAAATCTATAAACACCAATTTTTAGAAATCAGTGTATAGATTCTACATGTAAAATTTACAAAGCTGGCTGACATCTCTGAGCCACCTAGGAAAGCCTTACATCTAAAAAATGATTTGGTACTGAAATTAAAACTAAAACTCACCTGGCACTCCTCCTTTTATAAAAATACATTTCCACTGAAATACTGAATGGCCCTTTAAAACCTGATATATCAGTAAAAACTACGTGTATGTTACAACAAATCAGATCAAGCCATAAAATTTTGAAAAATTGAGATGGATGAAGAGTAGAAATACCTTAACACACAGTTTAAAGTTAATACAGATGTTGAGCACATACAGAAAAAAATATGTTTAAACCAAAGAACTCAAGCAAATTCTCTTTCAGGTCCCAATCCAGGTTCATTGTTATTATTGGACAACCCTCAAATAAATTTTTTATATCATAAAATTCTCTCCTTATAATTAACTTTCTTTCCATTTATTATTTACCTATGTACTACTGACTAAAATTCCTTAAAAGTGAACAGCAACAAAAATTTAAGCATAAGAATCATCAGAATGGTAAAGTAAAAATAAAGGAAACTAGAAAGTTTTGTCATGAATCACAGTTTTGAGAATACTGACTTACAAGATCTAACATGCAAATATCTTTTCATCCTAAAAACACAATTCAAAAAAAAATCTTAAATTTAAAATTCTGTTCTATAAGAATTACTTGTGAGAAGAAATAAAAGGAGTAGAGGGAAGCTCAAATGTGAGGTCACTATGCTTTTATGAATGCTTTAAGAAAAAAACAATATTTTTCTCCCCAAAAGTTCCAACATTAAGAGAAATCAAAAGGACACTGGGAATTGTGTGTGTTATTTATGAGTGCAGAAGAAACAAAGGGTAAGCAAATTGTTTCGGCAGTTTTGAAGAATTTGGTTATATGTTCAATAAAGAAAATAGAAGTCTCAACAGATAGTTCATTATTAACAGGATATAAAATGTCAAATTAAGAGTTCCTATGCTCCATTTTCTTATTCCAGTAGTTGCATCCTCATTCTCAAACCGAAACAAAATTTATCAATGTTAAAAACAAAATGCACCGGGCGTGGTGGCTCATACCTGTAATCCCAGCACTTTGGGAGGCCAAGGCAGGTGGATCACCTGAGTTTGGGAGTTCAAGACCAGTCTGGCCAACATGGTGAAACCCCGTCTCTACTAAAAATACAAAATTAGCCAGGTGTGGTGGTGCATGCCAGTAATCCCAGCTACTAGGGAGGCTGAGGCAGGAGAATCACTTGAACCTGGGGGGCAAAGGTTGCAGTGAGCCAAAATCACAGCACCACTGCACTCTAGCCTAGGCAACAAGAGTAAAACTCCCATCTCAAAAAAATAAAATTAACAAACAACAACAAGAAAAACAAAATGCATAAAGATGTGTAGAAAAATGCCATCTGCAGTAAATCTAAAATTAAGAATACCTTGGTTTCCTGTAGCATTATTTTATTCCTACAACTATTACTAGGAAAAAGAACAAAAGAGTTTTAAGAGGTCAGAATTTATATAAATATTAAAACTAAATATGAGGTAATATATTATTTATGTATCTAAAAGAAACTGAATGCTTTTCTTTAAATCTGTATATTTTTACCTATGTAAAATATACATACTGCTACAGTTTTTAATATTAAAACAATGATTGGCCAGGAGCAGTGACTCACGCCTGTAATCTCAGCACTTTGGGAGGCCAAGGCAGGCAGACCGCGAGGTCAGGAGTTTGAGACCAGCCTGGCCAACACAGCAAAACCCCCATCTCTACTAAAAATACAAAAAAAATTAGCCAGGTGTGGTGGCGTGCACCTGTAATCCCAGCTATTCAGGAAGCTGAGGCAGGAGAATCACTTGAACCTGGGAGGCGGAGGTTGTGGTGAGCCAAGATCGTGCCGTTGCGCTCCAGCCTGGGCACAGTGCAAGACTCTTATCTCGAAACAAAAACAAAAACAAAAAAAACAATAAACATGATTATGCCCTATGTAAATCTATAAGACTAAAACACTGATGAGACACTGCTTATTTTCTAATTTTGAAATGATTATATGATTAATTAACTAAATTGTGGTTACTGCTATGTAAAAAGTGGAAAGTGATTAAATTCTTTTTAGAGTAAGCATGTTGGACTTATATATTCAACAAAAACAATAAAGACTGAAAAAAACAAGTTAGTGAAAAATATGCAACAAACCAATATTTAATAAATATTTCAATAACAGAATACTCAAGATAGTAGAATTAGTAGTTTAAATTAGTCTACCTCACTAATAAAAATTTACAATGAAGCAAGTATTCCCTGTCCCTTTTTTTTTAACAAATATAAATTCTATTGACTACAGAGAAAATATAGGGTATATAAAAATAGCAAACCAATCAATAGCTCAACCAAAATTATAACAGGAACCAATTTCTTATCAAAGGACTCAAAGGGGAGAAATAATGAGATGTCAACTCTTACATGCCTAAAGATAAGCAGAATGATTTAGATTAACAAATTTATTATAAAAGATTGTTAAAGATCTCTTTCTGGTCACCTTTGTTACCTGGGTACTCTGATGCATTCCTCTGATCCTAACAGGCCAAGCTGTCCATCTGAATCAAGACCCCAAGCATACACCTGGCCTTTGTCATTTAATGCTAATGTATGAGCTTCTCCACATGAAACAGCTACAATATTTTGGGCATCCAAGGCAACAACCTGCTCTACAGAAATAAAGAAGAGAGATATTACGTTCTAATTTTGAACTTCCAGTAAGAACAAAACACATTCTTCATTTTATACAAACAAGCTAAAGAAATGCTTAAACACACACTACATATAACCAGTTATTTTGAATTATCTAACAAATTACGTACCATACGTAATTCTCATTGTGGTAAAACACAGATAAATACATTATAGGGCATAATCAACTCAGAATATTAAGTGATCTGAACACTTTTGGGAAGAAGTTAAGGGATTATAAAGATTCTTTCAGAATGTACCTTCTATTCAAATCTGTTACTAATAAAAGAGTCCAAGTTAAAAACAAAAACAAAAAAAGAGGAAGAAATCATTTAAATAACCTGGGCTGCTTGACTTTAACAATAAAATCATAACTGACACATATATTACAATGTATATGCTGCTGTGAAGTGATTCTGAAATTAAGGAAACAGGCCGGGCACACTGGCTCACACCTGTAATAAATACCAGCACTTTGGGAGGCCAAAGAGGGTGGATCACTTAAGGTCAGGAGTTTTGAGACCAGCCTGGCCAACACAGTGAAACCCCATCTCTACTAAAAATACAAAAATTATCTGGATGTGGTAGCGCATGCCTGTAATCCCAGCTACTTGGAAGGCTGAGGCAGGAGAATCACCTGAACCTGGGGGACGGAGGTTGCAGTGAGCCGAGATCATGCCACTGCACTCAAGCCTGGGCGACAGAGCCAGACCCTATCTCAAGGGAAAAAAAAAAGGAAATTAAGGAAATAATCTGAATTAGCAACTTCTGAATAGAAAACAAATTTTTTAAAGAACTCGTAAATAAAGCATCTATTAGATATGGTGAGTAGAGAACTAGAAGGCAGTAAACCATGACTGAAAAAGTTTCTATTTGTGGACTGCTAAATATCAAAAGATATAAAAGCTGCTTTCTTGGTTAAAATATGTTCAAGTTAAATCAGAAATTAACTTAAAATATTGGCCCTACTACCAGGAGCCATCAATTGACAAATCAATAAGGAAAGTGAATTTATTTCCCCTAGTCCTCAAGATGTGTTTGTCAGTTTAACTAGTACACATTTTTTAAAAGATGCCATTTAAAATTAACGTTCTTTCAGTTTAATAAGAAAGCTATAATTATTGTCTTCAATGAACTAAAAGTCTTACGTTGAAATGGTTAAAACTGGATCAATCAGGGTTTCTTCAGAGGCACAGTTTAGCTTAATTTACAAATGCAGTTGTTCAATAATGAAACAGACTGAACCAGAGAGTCTGAAATTCCTATCTATACAGAAATTCAAATTGTATCTAGATTACTAGCTTCCATTTTGGAGTGGGAGGTTAGCCCTAGATAGCCTCTAGGAACCTACATATCTCTAATGACATATGAAATACTTACCTTCAGGTACTATGGGGTTGATTACTCCTGAAGCTTCCAGTATATGGAAGTTCATTACACTAATCCCTCACTTTTTGGATAGCTTTTTAAAAATTATTTTGCAGAAACATACAAAAACCAAAAAGGAAAACAAGATATGACACACGATGTTCCTCAAAAAAAAAAACAAAAACAAAAACAAAATACTTAGAAGCATCATTTGTTTATATCAAAACATTCCCATATATCTTAATTATGAAGAAAGAAGTACATGTGTGAAAGATTTATCTCTCACAGAGGTTCCAGAGAGTCAAGGTCTCTCCAGAACAATCCTCAAAGGAAGTAGCAGAAAATGACAAGATGACAAGAGGGGTAAGACTGCTTGGTTGGTTCAACAATAACAAATTAATAGCAATCGCTATAAAGAGAGCAATGGCCTTAAAGTCAAAGGCACCAAAATCCAAGAAACAAAGAAGCAATCACTTATATTAAACACTTGTATTGTATACTTCTTGTGCTCCAAGCACCTGCGAGAGAGAGAATAAAACAAGTGTCCCAGCCCTCAATGAGTTTATGGCCTATGGAAAAACAAGTGAGATAAAGACTGTGACTACATGCTAAGATAAACATATGCAAAAGACACAAAAGGAACATGAACTATTTATGTAAACCTTAAAGATAGTCCAGGCAAGGTAGTTCACACCTGTAATCCTAGCACTTGTAGAAGCCAAGGGGGGGATCACTTGAACCCAGGAGGTTGAGACCAGCCTGGGCAACATACTGAGACCTTGTCTCTACAAATAATTCCTTTAAAAATGAGCCACGCCTGGTGGCATGCACCTGTGGGTAGACAGAGTGGGGAGAGTCACTTGAGCCCAGGTGGTTGAAGCTACAATAAGCTGTGATTACGCCACTGTGTTCCTTCACAGGTGACAGAGCAAGACCGTGGCTCCAAAAAAAATAATAAACAAACCAAGAATTTTAGAAGACAGTGAAAACTAGCTGAGTCCTAAGCAGAGGAAAGAGGAGATTCCATGTATCTGAGGAAGGAGACCCAGACATCTAGGATCACCTCCCCCTTGACTTCCACATTGCATTTCAATAGAAGAAAAGGCTGGCCGACTGGTGCCTCCTATATCACCTTCCTGTAAATAGCAGGCATGGTGTGGGGGACTCTCTCCAGAAGCCATTGTTTTTACTTAAGATCAAAACCCCACCTCACTCCCTTTCATATGTGATTTCTAAAGCTATAAAGCCAAGATCCTTTCATATGTGATTTCTAAAACTATAAACCCAAGACCCTTTCATATGTGATTAATAAAGCTATAAAACCAAGACCCTTTCACTTGTAATTTCTAAGGCTGTAAACCTAAGATTCTTTCATTTGTAATATCTAAAGCATAAGCCTATATAAAGACAGAGCTTCTCTTTGTTAGGTGAGCTTGATCATTTAGACAAATTGTCGCTTGGCTCCCATTTGTAATAATAGTAATAAACACTTCTTCCTTCCCAGTTCGATGTTTGAGAGGTCTGTTTCTCACAGCCGCTCCTGCTTCATTTGATTCCCTGAACGGGAAAGGAGTTTTGGTTGGCAGACGGCCAGAAAAGCCTCTCAGGCGGTTTGCCTAGCCCTTCAGAGCATCCCTGAGGGGGCTCCCGCCTGCTGGGGCTACACAGTACCTGAGAGCGCTCCCAGGCAGGTATTTGCCCGGTGGAAAGCCTCGCCAGAGTGGAGCAGGAAAGCCCCCGCAGCATGGATCCAACCAGTGGCTGAACATCGAGAAGGAACGGGTACTTGGAACGTCCGGATAACAGAAACACGGTAGGATTGGTCCCAGGAAACTTGCCCACCTCCTTTAGGTGGAAGCATGGCCTGATCACCCACATGTGCCAGATTTGGCACTTTTGAACTTGGCTCTCTCTCCCTCTTCTTTTGTAACTAATCTTGGAAGCTTTTGTTTATGGTTTTGATTTGGGTGGAGGGAGGAGAGCAAGAGCGAGAGAATGAGAGGGCGAGAGAGCCGAGGCGGGGCGGGGGGGAGAGAGAGAGAAAGTGTGTGTGTGTAGGGGCCCAACTGGACTCACTGGCCGTGATGGGAGTATAATGGCCCATTAGAAGGGGGGACCTCATACTCCAAGCAATTTGTAGGGCTGACTGGAATTAGAGACGGCTACATAAGGCTAAGTGGAAGAGCCTTTGCTATTTAGGAGTTGTGAAAGGGATTGAAGCGAACGAATCAGAGTGTGTATTGCATCCTACTGGGTGGGAACTGCTGTGGGTGGAGTAACACTCTCTTAACTGTGAGAATCCATTTTATGGCATGTAGGCATGGGTCATGCTCATAGCATGCCTTTAGAGACCATGCTGAAAAATTTCAAGAAGGGGTTTAGTGGAAATTATAGAATAGCTATGACACCAGAGAAATTAAGGACTTTATGTGAGGTAGACTGGACAGCATTTGGGGTAGGTTGGCCCTCAGAGGGGACCCTAGACAGGTCTCTTGTCTCCCAAGTAAGGCATGAGGTTATATGCAGTGAGCCAGAACACCTTGATCAATTTCCGTACATAGACTCGTGGTTGCAGTTAGTTTTAAACCCTCTGAGGTGGTTAGGAGGACAGACATCATATGTTTTAGTGGCCAAGGGACAAACTGCTAGAAACCACCCCCCTCAACCCCGCCAAGAGATGCAGACTCTCAAGGTCCAGGCAGACTCAGTGGCAGAGACTCAGACTCCCAAGGTCGGGGCAGATTCAGTGGCAGAAACGACAACTCCCAGGGCTCTGGCAGATTCGGCAGCCAAAGAGTTTTTGCCAATAATGCCCCCTCCTCCTCAGGGACTCCCTGCCCCTGGGCCGGAAGCCTAAGCACCCCTACCAGAGTTGTACACCCCTAAACCACCCAGAGTAGACAAAAGAGAGTGCAGAAAAACTCCTCCCATTGCTACCTGCTTCCTGGAAGGAACTCCCCCTCTGGCAGCCCGTCTGTGATCTAAGGCAGGGGTGCAGATGCCTTTAAGAGAGCAAAGGTACACAGAAGTGGATGAGGATGGTCACATGGTAGAAAAGCGTGTTTTCACGTATCTGCCGTTCACCTTGGCTGATCTTATCAATTGGAAAAATAACAACCCGTCTTATACTGAGAAATCCCAGGCTCTCATTGATATACTGCAAACTATTATTCAGACTCATAACCCCATTTGGGCTGATTGCCATCAGTGGCTTATGCATCTTTTTAACACGGACGAAAGGCGGAGAACACTCCAAGCCGCTTCTAATTGGCTGCAAGAGCATGTACCTGCAGATTACCAGAACCACCAAGAGTATGTCAGGGTTCAGTTACCAGGAACTGACCCCCAGTGGGATCCAAACACCCCGGAGGACATGCAGAGGCTAATCCAGTATAGGGATGCCTTGCTGAAAGGATTAAAAAAGGGGGCCCAGAAAGTTACAAACATTAATAAAGTCTCTGAGGTTATTCAAAGAAAAGAGGAAAGCCCCACACAATTTTATGAAAGGCTGTGTGAAGCTTACCACATATATACTCCTTTTGATCCTGGGAGCCCGAAAAACCAATGCATGATAAATATGGCATTCACCAGTCAGTGTGCAGAAGACGTT